GATAGATAGATAGATAGATAGATAGATAGATAGATAGATAGATAGATAGATAGATAGATAGATAGATGGTGGGTGGGTGGATGTTAGACAGATAGATGGACAGACAGACAGATGATAGATAGACAGATGATAGATAAATTATAGATAGACATAATATGGATAATAGAGATATAGATATGAATTCACCACTTTCTTTTCAAAGCTCACATGTTCTGCCACTCCACCCTACAGGTGATCATCAATTTCCCCGACCCGTCACAGAAGAGCGACATTGTACAGTTGCGTGGCCCCAAAAACGAGGTGGAGAAATGTGGAAAGTACCTACAAAAAGTCATCGCAGAGCTGGTGAGTCTAGCTGATCTCAGCTTTCAGAGAAGCATTTTAGAACCTTTCATTCTGTTGGGATAAAAAGAGGTTTCTTCCCCTTTTCAGTCTTTGGGACATAGAGAGGAGATCCCATCTGATCACTTTTGGATAGCTGCTGCTCTGACAGTTCTGCTTTGGGTGCTGAGTCACTGTGGCTCACATTCCTTGTGAAGGTTAGGAGAGTAGTGAGGAATGGCCGCGTCTGTCCGGTGCAAAAGACCAGGTCCACACCTGAAGGTCCAGTTAAACTGATTTATTGCTAAAAAAAAAAAAGCCTATGCACAGGAATCTTGTCAACTAACAATAAGCAGCTACTTGGAGTTAGATAAGGGCCAACGGAATTCAAGGGAGGTTCGACTGAGTCCGCTTGTGACTATATAGGGCAGTGGTGGCGAACCTATGGCACGTGTGCCAGAGGCGGCACTCAGAGCCCTCTCTGTGGGCATGTGCACCATGCCCTGGAGATGGCAACCGTCTCTCTTCAACCAGCCGCCCGCTAACTCGCCAAGCTCCCACGTGGTCGGATGCATCCCAGTATGGCTGGTTTTCCTCCCTCCCATCCCATCCCTCCTGTCCTCACATGCTCTCCTTTTCCTGGGCACGACCCACTGCATCGCCTCCTCAGCTGTTGGCCGGCCGTCCAGCTCAGAGGCGGCTTCTCTGAACTGCTGGTGGTTTGCTGCGGAGCCCCCAGAATGCGCCGATTGAGGGGCCGGCAGGCTGTGGCTGCTGACGGACACCGTCGGCTCCCATGCACTCGCTGGCCTCTGTGTGCGGGGGCCAATGGTGTCAGGCAGCAGCCGCCCCAGCCCCTGCCTCGCTTTGCCCCGTGGCAATGGCACCCCTGCCCTGCCTCGCCTTGCCTTGTCTCACCCCGCAGGACGAGCCTCCTGCCCACCATCCCACCTGCCAGAGACCCACTGAATCTCCCTCAACCCTGCCCAGCCCCCACAGGCGTCCCTCCCACAAGCAACATCAAGGTGACCATGCCCACCTTGGCCACACCCACCCAGTCTGCCATGACCACAGCCATGCCCACCCAGTGGGCCACGCCCACCCGGCACTCGGCGAAAAATAAGTGGGTTTTGGGTTGCAGTTTGGGCAATGAAATTCAATGGTGAAAAAAGTAAGGTTCTACATTTAGGCAAGAAAAACCAAATGTACAGGTATAGTATAGGGGGTACCTTGCTCAATAGTAGTAACTGCGAGAGGGACCTCGGAGTCCTAGTGGACAATCACTTAAATATGAGCCAGCCATGTGCTGCAGCTGCCAAAAAAGCCAACACAGTGCTAGGCTGCATTAACAGAGGGATAGAATCAAGATCACGTGAAGTGTTAATACCACTTTACAATGCCTTGGTAAGGCCACACTTGGAATACTGCATCCAGTTTTGGTCACCACGATGTAAAAAAAGTGTTGAGACTCTAGAAAGAGTACAGAGAAGAGCAACAAAGATGATTAGGGGACTGGAGGCTAAAACATATAAGAAACGGTTGGTGGAATTGGGTATGTCTAGTTTAATGAAGAGAAGGACGAGGGGGGGACATGATAGCAGTGTTCCAATATCTCAGGGGTTGCCCCAAAGAAGAGGGAGTCAAGCTATTCTCCAAAGCGCCTGAAGGCAGAACAAGAAGCAACGGATGGAAACTAACCAAGGAGAGAAGCAACCTAGAACTAAGGAGAAACTTCCTGACAGTGAGAACAATGAACCAGTGGAACAACCTGCCTCCAGAAGCGGTGAATGCTCCAACACTGGAGGTTTTTAAGAAGAGACTGGACAGCCATTTGTCCGAAATGGTATAGGGTTTCCTGCCTGAGCAGGGGGTTGGACTAGATGACCTCCGAGGTCCCTTCCAACTTTATCATCATTATTATCATTATTATCACTGATACAGGGATTCTAGGCTGATTTCTGTTTTGACTCCGCCCCCCCCCCCCCCCCCGGGTTCTGTCACTTTTTTTCTTCCTACAATGTCAGGAGATACGTAGTGCTGAAGCTTTCTTTCTGTGATATTAGGTGGTTAGCATGCCTCTATATAGAGTCTGAGTAAGTCAGAGGCTGGACTACAAGGCCAGATACATTAATAGAGACGAACAGAGGCCGGAAACGAAATCTCTCTGGCTTAACTCTCTTCCCTCTCTTTTTTTCTGTGCCTTAGATCGAAAACAGTTTTTCCATCCCGGTTCCCATTTTCAAGCAATTCCACAAGAACATCATTGGGAAAGGAGGCGCCAATATCAAAAAGGTAAAAGGGGGAGGCTCTCCCCACCTCACCCACTACACCAGCGGTTCTCAACCTATGGGTCGCGACCCCATTTGGGGTCAATCGACCATTTCACGGGGGTCGCCAAGCAAGGCTGTCCGCCATTTTTTTCCCCTTTTCCGGCGGGTGCCTTACCTCCCTTGAGCTGGGCCAGCTGGTGGTTGGCCTGCTCCGTCTCTGCCGCTTGCCAGCTACGCCTCGGCCGGCGCAGGGGGCGGAACCACGCATGTGCGGCGCTCCCGGGCAGGGAAAGTCCTCGACTTACAACCGGCTGGGTAGTCCTCGACTTACGACCGGTTTAGTCCTCGACTTACGACCGGTTTAGTCCTCGACTTACGACCGGTTGGGGGTCACGGCATTAAAAAGGTTGAGAACCACTGCACTACACTCTGTCTTCTATGTGCATGTATGGGTACATGTGCACATCACCACGATGTAAAAAAGATGCTGAGACTCTAGAGCAGTGTTTCTCAACCTTGACAATTTTAAGGCATGTGGACTTCAACTCCCAGAATTCCACAGCCAGCATTGCTGGCTGTGGAATTCTGGGAGTTGAAGTCCACATGCCTTAAAATTGTCAAGGTTGAGAAACACTGCTCTAGAAAGAGTACAGAGAAGAGCAACAAAGATGATTAGGGGACTGGAGGCCAAAGCATATAAGGAACGGCTGCTGGAATTGGGTATGTCTAGTTTAATGAAGAGAAGGACGAGGGGGGACATGATAGCAAGTCTTCCAGTATCTCAGGGGCTGCCCCAAAGAAGAGGGAGTCAAGCTATTCTCCAAAGCGCCTGAAGGCAGGACAAGAAGCAAGGGGTGGAAACTGATCAAGGAGAGAAGCAACCTAGAACTAAGGAGAAACTTCCTGATAGTTAGAACAATTAACCAGTGGAACAACCTGCCTCCAGAAGCAGTGAATGTTCCAACACTGGAAGTTTTTAAGAAGAGACTGGACAGCCATTTGTCTGAAATGGTATAGGGTTTCCTGCCTGAGCAGGGGGTTGGACTAGATAACCTCCAAGGTCCCTTCCAACTTTATTATTATTATTATTATTATTATTATTATTATTATTATTATTATTATTATTATTATTATTATTACTATTATTATTATTATTATAATTATTATTATTATTATTATTGGTACCTATCCCTTTTTATGGAAAGGGTCAGTGGGTCAAGGATTTAAGCCTAGGTATGTAAATCTAGAATGTTACACTGCAGTCTTATATACATTAGAATACTCACAACTCACATTGGATTCCAAAACGGTTGTGATTCCCATTTAGAGGGACCCTTGGCCCTTGGATTTGGAGATTTGGAGATTCTTCCCATATTTGGGGCACTAAATAGGGGAAGTCAACACCCACCGAGAATATGTGGTCCAAGTAGGTTCCTGACACAGCCCTTATCACCCTGGAAGAAACCACTTCTACCCATCGTCTCTGAGGGCAGTTCCTTGTAGAGCTCATGAGAGTAGTCTAGCCTTGAGGCTCTGGGGTTTGATGTTGTCTCTTCACAATAGATTCGAGAGGAAACCAATACCAAGATTGACCTCCCTACAGAAAACAGCAATTCTGAAGTGATCCTGATCACCGGGAAGAAGGCCAATTGTGAGGACGCTCGGGATCGTATCTTGGCCATCCAGAGAGAGCTGGTGGGTGTGTGAATCATTTTCCTCCTCCTCCTCCTCCTCCTCCTCCTCTCCTCCTCCTCCTCCTCCTCCTCCTCCACACTCTGAATCAAGCTATCTGAATGCCTTCCGCTCAGGATGCAATCTGGAACAAGGTGTATTATTGGGTTACCTTTGAAGCACACCTGGAAACTCTTATCAAGCCCACTTAGGTGGTCCATCAACTTAATTACTGGCTCTTTGTTCAGTTTCAGAACAATAGAACAGAACAGTTTTTGAATATTGACTTGCAGCTGGTCTGTCTGAATCTCAACTTTTTCTTGCACAAAATTGATAGTCAGTTGAGATCTTCTTACAGGTGATCTTTTGAGGCTTGGCGCTAAGTTGCTACTGGCAGAGAACACCCCGCGATGCGGTTTCTCTAAATTTCCCACCCACCCAAAAAAAGAAAAAAAAAAGGAGATTTAAAGAAATAATTGTAGATGACTTTAAAAAAAACAACACTAAAATTATGTTGTGAAAAGTTTTCCAGTTGCCCAAGGAGTTCATTCCCTCCCTTAAACAAACATTATAATTTTGTCCATAGTGTATTTGGTCAGGTTTACGGGAAAGGGAATGATTTCGGGCTAATATCTCTCTTGACTCCGCCCTGGGCCATACCTGTCTTCCTACTGACTACAAAAAGAAATCCAGACTTCAGATACAGCAGAAATACACTTGTAAAATTGTAAACCTGGCATAGTTTTCGGGTTAATGGCCCAATCTTGGGGGTCTTCTGAGTGCTAGGGAAGTGTAGTACTCCTAGACGTGCGTTTCTGAACTACGGATTCTGATTTATCCATGCCATAGAGAGTGGCAAATCAGATCCTATTTCAAATGACGCGCTTAGCAAATTACAGTGCCGCATGTCATCTTTTAGCTATGGATAATTGTGAGTTTTCTTGCTTTGCCTGTCCTTAAGAATTCTGGATATAAATATGTGGGCTTCCTAGACGTAAAACCCACCTGAAATAAATACATGTATTTCCTTGGATTTCTTCAGCCGTTCCCAAAGCGTTGTACTCAAAATTGAAAAATTATCTAGGCAGCACCAGAATGGTGAGTTGCAAGTAGTCCTCGACTTATAACCACAGTTGGGATGACAATTTTCGTTGCTAAACAAGACGGTCATTAAGTGAGTAACAGCTGACGTTATGGCCTATTTTGCCATGGCGGTTAAGCGAATCACTTGCAGCTGTGGGGTGATCTTTCAGTGACTTTGCACGTCAGAAGCTATCTGGGAAGGTCACAAATGGCAATCACATGACCCAGGGATGTTGCATCCAGTGCAAATACATAACCGGTTGACAAGCACACCCAAATTTTTGATCATGTGACCTTGGGGAATGCTATGACAGTAGTAAGTGAGAAGACCAGCCATTTTTTCAGTGCCACCATAACTTTGAACGGTCGCTAAATGAACATTTGTAAGTCGATGACTTATCCCTACCAGTTGCCCAGTATGACATGCGTTTGTGCTGGTAATAAATTGTATTAAGCGATGCCCTTCTAAAAAATAATGTAAATTCATCTGCAAACTTTCCATCCTAGATGGCAAGTCAGATTGGTCCTTTTTAATACTGTTAACCATATTTCCCCAAAAATAAGACTGGGTCTTATATTCCAGTTAGGTCTTATTTTCAGGAAAAAAAGCTACTAAATGTGTCCATCTAGCTCAGGGCTTTTCAAACTTTTCACCCATTATATCACTTTTAGGATATGGCAATATCCGAGTACCACCAGTCACCTAGCAAGGTGTCAAAAACATGATGACCCCCCCCCCAAAAAAGGAAAAAAGTGATAAAGTACAGGTAGTCCTCAACTTACAAAAATTCGCTTACTGACTGTTCGAAGTTACAATGGCACTGAAAAAAGTGCCCCCCAAGCCACAGCCGAGCAAGACACCTGCCAGCCCGCCCGGCGGCGCTCTTCCTCCTGTCCGAGGTTTTCATTGTTGTGAGCATTTCTGTTGAGGATTGGCAGCGGGGGTGGGGTGGGGGGTGTTTGGTTTTTATTCCCCCCGTCTGCTGGGTGGTTGCAGCAGGTTTTGGTCACTTCACATGACCCTGGGACACTGTGACCGTCTTAAATATGAATCAGTTGCCAAGCATCTGAATGTAAATCACAAGACCCTGGAGATGTTGCAACATTCCAGCTGATCGGCACTTCTGGGCTCAGCAGAAGTGCCAGGATCAGTGCCGAGCACCAGCTGGAGCCTGGCGCTGATCCTGGCACTTCTGCTGAGCCCTGACAGCCCTGCAGCTCCAGCCGTCTCTCGCTCAGGCTTGTGCAGTGCTGCCACCGGTTCAGCTCATTCCCCTCCCCTGCTACCACTTTTCTAGGATGGTCGCGTACCACCTGACAGGTGCCAATGTACCACAGGTGGTACCCGTACCACTGGTTGAAAAGCCCTGGTCTAGCTGACGGTCTTAATTGGGGCTTATTTTGTGGGTGGGCCTTATATTATGAGCATCCTGAAAAATCATGCTAGAGCTTATGTTCCAGTTAGGTCTTATTTTGGGGGAAATGGGATTGCACCACATCAACTCTGTTCTATGCTTGCAACCTTCATTTAAATAAAAGTCTTTGGATCCTTCCACCTTTTTTTTTCTGTTTGGGAATTTTTAGACCCATAAACGTTTTATTTTATTTTCCCTAGCACATTTTTTGTTACATTTACTGCTGAGTCTCTCACCAAAGGGTATTGCCTGTTGGAATGAGGAAGAGAGATTAGTGGGGGTCCTTGATGCTCTCTGAGCTTGGTGGTTTTCTTGCAGGTGCTTCATTACCAAACTAGGGTCACATCGTCAGAAGACTGGTGACGTTACCTAGCTTGGTAGTGAAACGTCTCTTAAGGAAACCTCCAAGCTCAGAGAGCACCCAGGACCTCACAGTTCCACCCTGAGCTAAAAATATTCTCTTATAATTAAGAGGAATCAAACATGATGAATTGGCGCGCCGGCCAGATTATCTTTCATTTTGAACTTGGATTTTGTAGCTTTTCTCTTCTCGCCCTCAGGCTAACATCAAGGAAGTGGAGATCTCCATCCCAGCCAAACTGCACAATTCGCTGATTGGGGCCAAGGGGCGGCTGGTGCGCTCGATCATGGAGGAATGTGGCGGGGTGCACATCCATTTCCCTTCCGAAGGCTCGGGCAGCGAGAAAGTCACCATCCGAGGGCCCGGCGAAGAGGTGGAAAGAGCAAAGCGCCAGTTGCTGCATCTTGCCGAGGAAAAGGTAGGTGGTTGGTAAACGTCCGTCTACAATTCGATGGTTTGCAGAGCCGTTACGTTTCTTGAACAAAAAACAGCCCTAAAGGGCCAGAACAGTAAGGGTGTGGACAAAATTAGTGGATCAGAGGAATGCTGTGGATATAATTTACTTGGACTTCAGTAAGGCATTTGATAAAGTAGATCACAACCCACTACTCGATAAGATAAAAAAATGTGAGTTAGACAGCATCATCACCAGATGGATCCGTGGCCGGCTGACCAGCCGTACTCAGCGTGTGGTCCTCAATGGAACTGCTTCTACATGGAGGGAACGTAGAGAAGGACGAGGGGGGACATGATAGCCGTGTTCCAATATCTCAGGGGCTGCCCCAAAGAAGAGGGAGTCAAGCTATTCTCCAAAGCGCCTGAAGGCAGGACAAGAAGCAACGGATGGAAACTGATCAAGGAGAGAAGCAACCTAGAACTAAGGAGAAACTTCCTGACAGAACAATTAACCAGTGGAACAACCTGCCTCCAGAAGCAGTGTATGCTCCAACACTGGAAGTTTTTAAGAAGAGACTGGACAGCCATTTGTCCGAAATGGTATAGGGTTTCCTGCCTGAGCAGGGGGTTAGACTCGATGACCTCCAAGATCCCTTCCAACTTTTTATTATTATTATTATTATTATTATTATTATTATTATTATTATTATTATTATTATTATTATTATTATTATTATTATTATTATTATTATTATTATTATTATTATTATTACCATTAACCAATTAACCATTAAGCAAAATAATCAGGTATTTAGGGTATCAAGGAAAGGAGAGACACCATAGAGAATAGATAGATAGGGAAGGGCAGCTATGGCAACTTTACAGACCTGTGGATTTTAACTCCCAGAATTCTTGAGCCAGCATGGCTGGCGTGACTGGCTCAGGAATTCTGGGAGTTGAAGTCCACAGGTCTGTAAAGTTGCCATAGCTGCCCTTCCCTACCATAAGAGTTTTTCTCCTTAGCTCTCATGCCCTTAACTCTTTCATTGCCACACTCAACTTCAGGTTTCAATTAATATTTGTATTTTTTTCTCTTATAACAATGGCATTTAAGAGGCATTCCAAAGTGTCAAAACTTGCATTTATTTTCTTTCTGCCTTGTTATAGGACAGTGGGGTTGTTATTTAACATTACATCAATAATATTTTTTTTATTTTTATTTTGAGTGCAGTTGTGGGTCCGGCCTGAGAGAAAACTGAATTTTTAATCTCATTTCAGTTTCAACGCTTTCCGAGTTTTAATGTCTTGCCAGTTAAGTTGTGGAAGGACCGAGGGGGAGAGCTCAAGTTAGGAATCACTCAGATTTTTAGGAATATCCACAGACGCTAAGCTGAATCTAGTAAGAAAGCAGGAATTAGTGCTAATAAAAGAGATGCCTTCAGGAAAGGCATAGATTTATTTATGGTCGACTGCAAGAAATCCAAAGAGCTAAACAGAAATGCAAAATGCTACAAAGTGACCTAAGGAACCAGTTTCCAATCTGGAGTTCACTGGATAATAAGTGGGTTTTTACTGGTTGCATTTTGTGTTTCTGAGTGGCTCTCTCATTTCTGGTAGTTGACCTTAAATCTACGCCTTTTCTGAAGGGTTTTGGTTGCCAAAGATTTTAGGTCTTCTTTCTACGGGGACCTCATTTTTTTTTCCTACTTAAACATTGCCTTGTGTTTTTCCAGAAGATGGAATTGGAGCACAGATCGCTTACATATACAAAATTTATGAGCTTAAGAATAGATAGCTGTCAAGACTGACTCGCACTTTCACCTTTTTCTTTTGCTGGCAGCTTGACAATAACAGGAAGGGGGTGGATGGAATACAGGGGGTGGGAGAATGGTATTCAAGCATCCGTTGGCTTTCGTGAGACATTGCTGTCATCTCAAGGACACACCGAGCAGATGTCCACTATCTGATACTACTCTCTGGAGAACTCTCCTACCAAACGAGGCATCTGCCAAAGCAAATCGATCTAGTTTATAATGCCTCACAAAAGGTGAAGGCGACGACCACGTCGCTGCCCTACAAATTTCCTCGATCGACGCTTCGCCCACACCGCTGAGATCGCCGCACCGCGAGTTGAGTGCGCTGTGATCCGACTAGGAACTGGCAAGGAGTGTGTCTGGTACGCCTCCGCTATACATGCCCTAATCCAGGGCTTTTCAACCTTTTCACCCATTGTTCCACTTTTAGGATATGGCAATATCCGAGTACCACCAGTCGCCTAGCAAGGTGTCAAAAACTTAATGACCAAAAAAAGGAAAAAAGTGATAAAAGTACAGATAGTCCTCGACTTACAACAGTTCGCTTAATAACTGTTCGAAATTACAATGGCACTGAAAAATGTGCCCCCCAAGGCACAACCGAGCAAGACACCTGCCTGCCCACCCGGCGGCGCTCTTCCTCCTGTCCAAGGTTTTCATTGTTGTGAGCATTTCTGTTGAGGATTGGCAGCGGGGGTGGGGTTGGGGGTGTTTGGTTTTTATTCCCCCTCCGTCTGCTGGGTGGTTGCAGCAGGTTTTGGTCACTTCACATGATCCTGGGACACTGACTGTCATAAATATGAATCAGTTGCCAAGCATCTGAATGTAAATCACAAGACCCTGGAGATGTTGCAACATTCCAGCTGATCGGCGCTTCTTCTGGGTTCAGCAGAAGTGGCAGGATCAGTGCTGATTTCCAGCTGGAGCCTGGCGCTGATCCTGGCGCTTCCACTGAGCCCTGACAGCCCTGAAGAAGAGCCGATCAGCTGGAAAGCAACACTGATCCTGGCGCTTCCGCTGAGCCCTGACAGCCCTGCAGCTCCAGCCATCTCTCGCTCAGGCTTGTGCGGTGCTGCCACTGGTTCAGCTCATTCACCTCCCCCACTACCACTTTTCCAGGATGGTCGCGTACTACCTGCCAGGTGCCAAAGTACCACAGGTGGTACCCGTACCACTGGTTGAAAAGCACTGCCCTAATCCATCTGCCATTAGTCGAGGCAGACACCTTCTGGCCCATTGAAGAGGGCTGGATTGAAACGAAGAGGGCCCCAGATTTGCGAAAAAGGGCAGTTCGCTTAACGTAGTGACATAAGGCTCTGCGGACGTCCGGGGTGTGCCATTTACGTTCCGAGTCGTGAGACGGCTGGGGACACAAATCTGGCAGCACAACGTCCTGCGCCCTGTGAAACAAGAAATTGACCTTGGGAATGAAGGAGGGATCCAACCGTAGGACCACCCTGTCGGCATGAAAGATGCATAAGTCGTCTCTGATAAGACAGGGCTGCCAGTTCAGAGATGCGTCTAACTGATGTGACAGCCACTAGGAAGGCCACCTTAAGCATCAGAAATCTCAGGGAGCAGGTTCTGATGGGCTCAAAGGGAGGAGAAATGAGAGGCGTGGCTGGCCGTTCCCCATCACAAAATGAACAGGCGAGATTGGTGGACGTTTTGGATTGTGGGTGGCCCGAAGGGAAAAGGGGGAACGAACTACGCTTGCTTTGGCGCGGGAAATCCAGAGGCGGTTTTGCTTCTCCTGTGCCAATGTGGTTTATTCAGTAAAGTTTTATGCTCTTGGTAAAATAATGTTCCTTTTTCTGGATTCGCCAAGTGGACAGTTGAGAGTAGCTAAGTGATGTTTTGGAACACAGATTCCATTTTCAGTAGGTGCAATACACACAGAAACACATACTGGCAGTAGGAGTTGATCTTTATCTTGAGTACAGGTAATCCTTGACTTACGATGACAAATCGGGACCAGAATTTCCCTTGCTAAATAAAGCGATGGTTAAGTGATTTTACAATCACTTTTGCCATGGCTGTTAAGCAGATCGCTGCAGACCACGAATCAGTGGCCGTCCAACGAATCCAGATTCTCCCGTTGATTTTGCCTGGCAAATGGCGATCACCTGACCCTGCGACATTGCAATTGTCATAAATATGTAGGAGATGACCAGACTGAGCCCGAGGGAGGGGTCAAAGGCGTCATAAGTCACAAGTCCTTGCGAGCCCGCGAGAGATCTAAGTCCAGCCCTACTTGAATTCCTTTCTTAACTCCCGCTCATTTGCCTCGACTGTTAGTAGCTCAGATTCTTGTAGAGAGCTTGCAATAAATCTTAGTACTCATTTGAACTGCCTGAATTTCCCATTTTCCCCGGCACTTGACAAAATACATGCCAAGCACCCAAATTTTGACCACGTGACCGTGGGGATGCTGCCATGGTCGTAAAGTGTGAAAACCAGACACAAGTCACTTTTTTTTTCCAGTGCCGTTATAACTTCAGGTGGTAGAAGGCAAGGATCACCTGTCCTACTTGAGGTCTTTTGAAGGACTGATGCATGTCCGTGTTTTCTTCCTCCAGCAAATCAACAACCACTCAGTGGAACTGCACGCTAAGCCAGACTACCACAAGTTCCTGATTGGGCGTGGAGGTGCTAATATCCGCAAAGTTAGGGACCGCACCGGAGCCCGGATCATCTTCCCCACCCCTGAGGATAAGGACCAGGATGTTATCACCATTGTGGGCAAGGAAGACGCCGTACGGCAGGCCCAGCAAGAACTGGAGAGCCTCATTCGTAACTTGGTATGGGTCGTACAGCTTTTGCAGGGGTCTCCTTTAAGACTCATGGACTTCGGCTCCCAGAATTCCTCTGAGGAATTTCCTTTAATGAGCAAATCCCTAGAGCTCATAGCACCATCTTCTCTCAGCACATTTCTCTTCTAGAAGATGGGTGGGTAGAGATGGAGGACCGCCAAAAAGATCTGTAGAATTTGATCATCTCTAGTTTGGAGGGGGTGGGATAACTATAGCTGTTCTGCATGAGGAAGGTTTTATTTTTGCAGTTCATGCTTAAAAGACACCGGTAGGAATCGATGGGTAAGGGCGCCTCCTAGGAATTCTGGGAGTTGAAGTCCACAAGTCTTAAAGTTACCAAGTTTGGAGACCCCTGAGCTATTGGATGGAGCTGGGTGAGATGCTGGATAAGAGGGGAGACCTGCATCCTTTCCACACAACCTTACCCTATAGCTGTGATTGCAGGCGTTGCAGTCACTGTTTTTCTAGGGGTTGAAACCTCCCCTTATTCCTCATTCCTCAATATTCCTCATAACGATACTGCCGCTAATGGTTCTACCAGGGCAAATACTCTCTTCCCAAATGGGATTGAATTATGAAAGGTGGAGGACAAACAACTTCCAAGAAGCACGAAAGCTTAGTGACTCCTTCTGTTCCCCACCCGCTACTTCCCCTCTAGGATAATGTCATTGAAGACTCGATGGTGGTGGATCCCAAGTACCACCGCCATTTTGTGGCCCGTCGGGGACATGTGCTGCGGGAGATTGCAGAAGAGTACGGTGGGGTCACTGTGAGTTTCCCCCGGACAGGTGTCCAGAGTGATCGCGTGACGCTCAAGGGAGCCAAGGATTGTGTGGAGGCGGCCAAGAAGCGCATCCTGGAGATCATCGGTGACCTGGTAGGTCATGCTGTACCTCTGGATTGCAGTGGGCATTAAAATTCACCCTCGGGTGGATCAGAGCGTGAGTCGTCTTACAAAAAGCACCTTCCCCATCCTTCTGCCGTGAATCTGCTGGCAGAGAATGTCCCATTTAATGAACAAATCCCTAGAGCTCACAGCAACATCATCATTATCATAGTAGTAGTAGTAGTAGTAATAATAGTAATAATAATAATAGTAGTAGTAGTAATAATAATAATAATAATAATAATAATAATAATAATAATAAAAATAAAAAAATAAAAATAAAAATAAAAAAAGTTGGAAGGGACCTTGGAGGCATCAAGTCCAACCCCCTGCTCAGGCAGGAAACCCTATACCATTTCGGACAAATGGCTGTCCAGTCTCTTCTTAAAAACTTCCAGTGTTGGAGCATTCACTGCTTCTGGAGGCAGGTTGTTCCACTGGTTAATTGTTCTAACTGTCAGGAAGTTTCTCCTTAATTCTAGGTTGCTTCTCTCCTTGATTAGATCTATAGATTTTGATCTATAGCTGTGTAGATCTTTTATGCAAATCAAGCCCAGACGTTATGCTGAACTATTGAACTATGATTCATAAACTGCGGTAACTATAGAGGGGGATGATTATAATTGTTCTGCATTCAGAAAGGATTCAGAAACATGGAAAACCAAAGAGATCATTGTTGATTTCAGAAAAGGCAGGCACAGCCACACTTCTCTGTGCATAAATGATTCACCTGTGGAGATGGTTACCAGTGTCAAATTCCTGGGTGTGCAGTTAACGAGTAGGCTGACTTGATCGCTCAACAGTGAGAAACTCTCTCTCTCTCTCTCTCTCTCCCCCCCCCTTAATAACTGTAAAAATCCCGGGTTTTTTTGTTTGTGTGTGGTTTATGTTTATCCTAAGCATGTTTAAACTCAGTTACTGAGGTTAGGGTGTGAGGTTAGGGTTTTATTTTTGCCATTCCGGCTTAAAAGGAATTGATGAGAAAGGTTTCTTCCTAGGAATCTGCATACTCATTACCCTGTAGAGAAGTTGATAGTAAGCTGTGCAGATCTTTTATGCAAATCAAGCCCAGATGTTATGTTGAACAATTGAACTATGATTCATAAACCACAGGAACTAGATTCACCCCACAAATTAAGCTGATCAAACAAGCAAGCCACATTTGTGGCTTAGCCTGTTGCGTAAATTCAAGTTCACACTTCAATAACCAAAATCTGCCAATAAAATCATACATTAAAAATTCTGCTTGTTTTCTCAGAGGCATCAGGACTACGACAGTGATAAATTTTTATGATTAAGTATCAGCCTGTAACTGAAGCTCTTCAGGCTGCGCAGAATCAGTTACAATGCATGGTGTTTTTTTTTTAAAAAAAAAATCAAAATGATAGGAGACGTGAGGATAATTTAAACTTCCTTTGAGTTGCGCTCCAGTTTTGATGACTTTGTACCCATGTCCATCTAGTTTTCTTGGCAACAATTTGGAAAAGGGTTGTTCTTCTCTCCTTCTGGGGTATTCTTCAGCTTCTCAGTCTGGCCTGCAGTGTTGTGAGTTCCTGGTGATTGCTCATCCAGCATCTAAGCAGGACCAATCCTTGCTAGAAATTGCTACTGCTGAAGCAGCGTACGTGGCTTGTCAACAATTTTGTTTTTGTATGGAATCTCCTTCCCCTAAGAATGTGTTGTATGCATATTTTTAGAAGCAATACACCTAACGTGGCTGGCAAACTTATCTGACACACAACTAGAAGGCCAATTTGGTGTAGTGGTTGAGGTGCTGGCCTAGAAACCAGGAGACAATGAGTTCTAGTCCCTCCTTAGGCATGAAAGCCAACTGGGTGACTTTGGGCCAATCGCCAGGAGACGATGAGTTCTAGTCCATCCTTAGGCATGAAAGCCAGCTGAGT